TCACAAATACATTCATTTTAAAAGTCACGGAGTAAAAGGCTTAGAATTCTAAGAGACAAGCAATCCAAATGATTCTTTTTCTGCACCACCCCTTAATTTTCTGCAGACAGCATTAAGCAATCATCAGATATATCCTGTATTTGTTTCTCTGTCCTCTCTAGGCCAAGTTTCTCCTTGAAATGTTAAAGTGTTTCAAAACTTAGGGGCCTGAGATTCTAGATACACTGCCTTGAACCATCTTAGGGGGAGTGGACGAATGGAGCTCATCACAGTCTGGCACCATAGGCATGGCCTGGTCTCTGTTTCTCCCCCGATGAGGTGACCCGCTCTCCTCTATTTTACTCAAGATTTCCAATCCAGAGAGCCTTACTGAGCAGTCGTTTGGGTGCTATAACAAAGTACCACAGACCAGTGGGTTGAACCACAGACATTTATTGTCCCACAGCTCTGGAGGCTACCAGCTGAGATCAAAGTGTCGGCAGCGTCCTTTCCTTCTAAGGGCTCTGAGGGGCAAAACCTGTGCCTTGTTTCTCTCCTAGGTTCTGGTTTGCTGGCAACATTCGGTGTTTTGTGACTTCTTTTGATCTCCCCAACCTCCACCTTTGTCTCCACGTGGCCCTCTCCCTGTATGCGTGTCTGTGTGCAAATTTTCTCCTTTTATAAGGACACCAGTCATCTCAGATTAGGGGCCCACCCTACTCCAGTATGACCCCAACTTTACTTAACTAATTACGTTTGCATTGACCCTACTCCCAAATGTGATTACATTCTGAGGTGCTGAGGGAGAGGACCTCAACATATGAATTTGGGGGGGGACACAATTCAATTCATAATACTGCATAAGGCTCAAGGCCCAGCTAACCACCTGGAAATACCTCCTATCAGAAGGGGGAGACAAGGCAGAGCAAATTTTAGGGAAGGGACCCACCAGAGGCATCGGCTGCTTTTATACCCTGGAAAATCTGGCCACCCTGAGGATGGGCATTCCGCAAGGGTACACCATGCCTGCCTCAACTGGGAAATGTCAGCACTCGCTCCTAAAAGGGGAGTGGGCAGACCCTCTGAGTATCACAAACTCTCGCAAATGAATGTTCAGGAGCGTGGAAAACTCTCACAGACCAGGTCTGAGTTCTAGCAGATCCGTGGCTGTCTGAGTTGATCTATGGATAGGTGCTTGATACTGGGGAGCTCCGTTACCCACAACACCATGGTCATCACGTGAACAGCCATAGAGAATGCGTACCTACACTTCCCGCTGATCTTGTGAGTAACCGCCTAACCTGTGGATAAGCCAGATCTGTCATATGTAAAAGCATCCACCTTTGAGCCTCATTTCTGTCACCAGCCACTAACCACAGAGTTTTCCAACACACCTGCTCTTCCAGGCCACAGGACGCTGACCACACACGGGGCCTGTCAAGAATTCTTCTCAAAATAGGAAGCAGAAGAATCACCCCCACATAGGTAATGTGATTGTTCCTTCAAATTTTGGGTCCAAGGCCCATGTCTTACCCAACAAGATGGATGTCTTTACTCAGAAAGCCACTATGTATCAGTGCTAGAGTGAACTCATATTCATCTCAGGTCCTTGGCCCTAATCAGCTTACATTCCAGAGAGAGAGGTAGTCAATAAACAAGTAAATATAAGAATTACAAATTAGTAGGGGCGCCTGGGTGGCTCAGTCGGTTAAGCATCCGACTTCAGCCAGGTCACGATCTCGCGGTCCGGGAGTTCGAGCCCCGCGTCAGGCTCTGGGCTGATGGCTCGGAGCCTGGAGCCTGTTTCCGATTCTGTGTCTCCCTCTCTCTCTGCCCCTCCCCCGTTCATGCTCTGTCTCTCTCTGTCTCAAAAATAAATAAACGTTAAAAAAAAATTAAAAAAAAAAAAAAGAATTACAAATTAGCGATGAATCATGGGAATCTACTCCCGAAGCCAAGAGCACACCGTATACTCTGTACGTTAGCTAACTTGACAACAAATTACATTTAAAAAAGAAAAAAAAAATTACAACTTGTGGGGTGCCTGGCTGGCTCAGTCGGTAGAGCTTGTGCTCTTGATCTCGGGGCTGTGAGTTTGAGCCCCATGTTGGGTGTGGAGATTACTTAAAAATAAAATCTTAAAAAAAAAAAGAATCACAAATTGTGAAAAGTGCTCTGAAGGAAATGAATAAGCTGATGAGTTAGCTAATGGGGATAAGGCAAATGGGAATATCTACATTAGACAGGATAGTTTGGGAAGACCCCTCTGAGAGAAGAGTCTTTTCCACCCAGTTCTAGGAGACTAAAAACAGCCAGGGCTACAAAAATGTGGAGTAAGAGTGACCCAGACATGGGTAATAGCATATATAAAGGCCCTGAAGTAAGACTGTGCTTGACATGTTCAAGGAATAGGAAGGAAGCCAGCACGTCTGGGGTGGAGTGAGAGAGGCAGCATGGTAGGAAACGAGGCCCAAGAAGCAATGGGAGACCAGATCACACAGTGCTTTTTAGGTCTTATTAAAGAATTTGCACTGGGGTACCTGGGTGGCTCCGTTAGTTGAGCATCCAGCTCTTGATCTCAGCTCAGGTCATGATCTCACGGCTCGTGAGTTCGAGCCCCACATCGGGCTCCTCGCTTAACAGAGCGGAGCCTCCTTGGGATTCTCTCTGTCTCCCTCTCCCCCTGCCCCTCCCCTGCTTCTCTCTCTTCCTCTCGCAAAATGAATAAATAAACTTACATAAAAGGATCTGCACTTTATCTTTAAAAAAGAATTGCGATTGTATTCTAATTGTCATGGAAATGTATTAGCAGGTTTTGAGTAAAAAAAAAAAAAAAAAGTGACAAGCTCTGACTTGACACGTTAAAGGATTGCTCTGGCCGTGGTGTGGAGAATGGGCTATAGCAGAGCACGAGTAGAAGCAGGAAGACCAGTGAGGAGTCCGTTTCAGGTTTATTCCTCATCTCCTGCTCCATTCTGCAACTATTCAGTCCCTGACCTGTCTTCATCCATTCTTGCTGGCTCGGCTCTCCACCCTTAGGCCTTAGGACAGACTTGGTTTCTTCTTTTTGAGCCTTGGTGTTCTTCTAGGAACATGGCTTTTTTCCACACTCTGGCTCCATCCATTTAGAGCATCTGAGTCTTGGGCCCAGTGTTGCCCTTAGCCCTCTACCCTACAATGACCCTCACAGTTGGGGCAGCTGGTGACTCATCCGGAGCCTGAAGGGAACCGAACCTTAGTTATGCCATTGTTTCAAGGACAGAATCCTCCCCCACCCCCCAGGAATTGAAGAACAATTGAAGAACAACAGATCCTTCTGTTCCTAGATCCCTCTATTTCATGCCCCGTGACCCCTCAAAAAAAAAAAAAAAAACCCACGTAGAGTCTGTGTCACATATAGCATCACCAAACAGGAGTTCAAAAATGTGTGATTTCAAGTTGCATTAATTTATTAAATAAAACAAACTTAGTGAATCAGCAAATAGGTACCTAATGCCTAACCTGTGGGTCAAGTCCTATGCTGTATGTTTTGGATAGAGAAATGGAGAAGACAGCTTCTGGCCTTTGAGGAAACAGGCAGAGAAAGATAAATCAACATCTTAGCAGGTAGTCAAGGCCAGGTGACAGAGTCGCCGCTGTGCCCCATAGGTCCCATTTCAAGCTTTATTATGAGAAACATGGTTTCCCATCAGGCCCTGCACACAGCAAGAAGCCAGTCAGTGTTTGTTGTTGATGGTGATGATGATTTGGTGTTTTTCCAGAAGATTAGCACTCAATCTGAGGGCTATTCAAATTAAACCCCAGGTCTATTTCATCAAGAATTGTCACTCACTGGCATGCATGACCTTTTAGCTAAAGACTGATGTGCTAAGTGAACAATGTTATCAACTGAATTTACTTAATATGGACAAAGTTGCAGCCTTCCAAGACGACCTTTTCCCGAAGTCTCCAAATTACCAGCTACTTCAGTTCAATTGTCTTAATCATCTATTCACTGCAGAATAAAAACAAAGACAGAATCTATCTCCAGTCCTGCCACAGAGCCTAGGCAAGGTCTGGGCCACCCCAGAACAGAGGCCTGTTTGTCACCGTGGATCAGTGACCAGCTTTTGGCACACCTCAGTTTCCCCATCTATACTCTATGATTGATTGTTGCCATGTAAAGGAGGTAAAGGTGATATCATAATAAAATAAAATAAATAAATACACAATATATACATAATAAAATAAAGTAAAAGAAAAGAATAATGACCGTATAAAACAATTTTAAAAACGGTTGGATTTAAAATACATATTGTATTTTTAAAAAGTTTTTTAATGTTACTTATTTTAGAGAGACAGAGAGAGTATAAGTGGGGACGGGGCAGAGAGAGAGGGAGGCACAGAATCCGAAGCAGGCCCCAGGCTCTGAGCTGTCAGCACAGAGCCTGGTGCGTGACTCAAACCCACAAACCGTGAGATCATGACCTGAGCCAAAGTCAGATGCTTAACTGACTGAGCCACCCAGGCGCCCCTAAAATACGTATCTTAAAAGAAAGAAAGATGATATTATCATGCTGCAGGGAACTTTAAATACAGCATTTTGCATGAGAGAAAATAGCCCAACGGAAAACTGAAAGCTTCTTTTAAGTGTGCATTAGCCATCAAATGGCACTTCAGAGCTGCATTAAGAAATGTCAAAGACAGCGCCTGCCTGGCTCAGTTGGTAGAACACACAACTTTTGACCTCAGAGCTGTGAGTTCAAGCCCCATGTTGGGTGTGGAGGCTACTTTATTTAGGAAAAAAAAGAAAATGAAATGTCAAAGACAATCATCCAAACTACTGGGTACTTGAAGCCAGTTTTCTATCAGTCTTACACAATCCTGAGTGAATGGATGCATTTACTGAAGTTTCAACTTGTCCTGCAGCCATATTGACCCAAAGGAAGCCGTTGAGAGGCAGCGCCACGACTTTGCAAATGGTTCATTTCACCTACTGTATATAAGACATTGAAAGAAATCACAAAAGTACATTTTCTTACCTGAGAGAAAGGTACTGCTCAACATGAGAATCAATCCATAAAACTTCTGACATATGATGTGTTCTTTCATTGTGTAAACCTGTGTTCAAAAAGTCAGAAATATGCCCAGCTGAGATTCAGAACAAAAGGTTTATTTCCCAAAAAAAAAAAAAAAAAAAAAAAAAAAAGGTTTATTTCCAAGTGTATGTGACCATACTTCTCCCTCCCGTCCAATGCAAGGCTTTTTCCTATTGTTTAAAGTGGTTTATTTGCATATCCTTCCAACAAATTGTACCGAGTGCCTACATGTGCCAGAGCCTGTGTTACACGCTGGGAATAACAGTGCTGGGAAGACAAGTTAGCCCAGAGGGGAAGACACACATCGAATGCGTTAATTACAAAATGGGGCTGCACTCAACCTTAATGCACACGTCTTCAACCCAACAACTTGAAATTGTAATGATCCGAAACATTTGGAAGAAATGGCCAAGGTAACTCCTGAAATCGTTTCTATTTTTAGAGCAGATCTGTTTAGAGAGACCTGATCACCTCCTTCATTCACCCAGCTTTTCTCCTTAAAAAAAAAAAAAAAAAAAAGTGTAATTAAAGCTGCTTATTTGGGGAATACCCTGGAAAGCCCCCCCTCTCCAGCCAAAACAGTGTGAAAACTACAAACCTTACAGAACATATTACAGAAGTTTGGCAGTAGGGTGCTGATGGGCCTTTTCTGATTTTAAATAAAATGAACTTCGGAATGACTTACAGATTTAAACATTTCTTTTCCTATAGGATAATGCAACATATTGTATTTTCTTCCCCTTCTAAGTGCGAACAAGAAGGGAATTTGTATGACTTGGATGGATTTCCTACACCACAAACTTAGAAGTGGGGGAATGTCTAAATCTCTTACGACCTGTGAGATGAAATGCAGCTTAAATTCACAGCGCTGTAAGGAGGACCAGACTGAGAATCCATAACTAGCTGTGGGCCCGTATTTCTGTTCCTTCATTTCCCTGGGCCTCAGTTTCCTTATCTGTAAAAATGGAGATAATAATCTGCCTATTTCCCAGAGCTGCTATACGAGAGGATCAAATAAGGTGATATTTCAAAGGCAATTTTCAAAGTATAAAGTGCTATAGAAATGGATATGATTGCTATCTGTAAAATGGAATTTTCAGTAGCAAACAATCCAATTTATATCTTTCTTGCATTTCCTCTAAACTTTTATAACAATTCCAATGTGTGTTGCAGAAACTTACCTGGCACCCAATAAATAAATCATGGGACACAGTACAGAATACTATGCAGCCATTAAAAGGAGTCAGGTAAGTCTCTCTGTGTGTCAGGTATGAAAAGGTGGGTGGGGATACGGGATGGGCCCTGAGGACTTTCCTTTATATACAGTGCAATTCTGAGCTGCTCGGCTTTTCTACGATGATCATACATTACCTATGTAATTTTTAAAATTGAAGGAAAGGAGACAGGAAGGGAGGGAGGGAGAGAGGAAGAAGACAAGATAGGAAGGAAGAACGGATACTAAGTAGGTTTCCTCTATGCCTAATACCATTCTGTACTGTTTGAGTATTTTATACTGAGCCTGCATGCCTCGCATAATTTTACAAAATGGAAAGAAATTTAAAGGCAGGAAGAAAGGAGGGAGAGAAGGAAGGAAGGAGGGAAGTAGAGCAGAAGGAAGGGAGGGTGGAAGAAAGGAAGAAAGACGCTCACCTGAGAGCTGGATTCCTCCAACTTCCCACCCCGTGCCACTGTGGGGACCAGAAGGAGAATTTGCTTCACGAATGACCAGATCTGGTCTCCAAATCCCTACGTTTGATGTGAAATGGAAAGAGCAAAACGCAGGAAGGCTCATTATCTGCTGGCCGTGCCTCAGTCACCTTTTTTTTTTTTTCTTTCTAGATCAACTCAGCCTCTCTGCTCTTAGCTTTATGGGGCTTACTGACCAGGGCAGATCCTCTTTCTGTGGCTTGCAGTACGTCATGGGGCTGCTTTCCCGAGCATGAAATCAGCCCGAGCAAAGTTCTCAGGTTATTACATACCTGCAATTACCCATTAATGTGAGGGCCCTTTCCCAGTGCTCAGCAAGGATTATCTTCCGTTGCTAGTTGATTATCACTTTAATTAAGTTGGATATATTAAACCGGCATTTGCTCACTTAACTAAGGCTCGTTTCACTTTATTGAGAACTTGGGGGTGGGGGATGGTGTTCAGACCGGTGAGCAGACATCAGAGGCCAGGCAAGGATTAACATGTTCACATCTCACCCCGTCAGGACGACGGGGCCAGCTTTTTACCCTCACCACGGATCCATTCTTCAAAGTGCTTTGAAAAGAGATGTACAGAACTGGTTTTGTGGCCTTCTCAAGAGAGGGATGTAGTTTTGTGCTCCAGAAGGTGTCATTACAGCGCTTTGGAATGATGGAAATACCAGCAAATCCCATCAGGCTTCCAGGGATGATCCCCGCCAGGCTCTGCACTTCCAAGGTCGGGGCCCCAAGTTCAGAGGGTACAATGACACAATGACTTGCTCAAAGTCATAGGGATGATGAGAGGCAGAGCAGCAGTTATGACGACGGAGGGCTCCTGGTTCCCAGGCCAATGCACGGTCCTCTCCCTCTCACACCTCAAATGGAAAAATTCAGTTTGCTAACAGACTGAGTCAACCTGCTATCTTCAGGCCAGTGGCTCTCCGCAGGGGAATGCGGAAGGAGGCAGTGTATCAGAATTATCCGTCACTCACCCCCCAGCCCAGAAACTGTTCGTGGTACGGCGGATGAGAGCCCAGGCTTTCCTGAAAGATAGATTAGTGTCTGATTCTCAGTTGTGTGACAGACAGCCAGGCTCTTAACATCTCTGGAGCCAAAAAGTGTCCTCATTTGTAAAAGGTGGCTAATGCCACTCACCTCATATCCCTGTGAAGATTACATAGGACATTCGGTGCAAAGGGCTTAGCCCAGAGCCTGGCACGGGTCCCGGTGCCCCTGCTCCTACCTAGAATGCCACTGTCTTCTCTTCCCACCGTGCACAAGGCTAAGCTTTTGTGGCCTGCTCCCCACATGGTCCACACAGCTTACAAGGGAGCGTGGGGCGATTGTCAAGTGTCATCTTAGCACTTCCTTGGCGCTGATTTCTTTTTCACGTCAGGCCCGCTCCTTGGTCTGCCTCCCCCCTACCCCCATAACCCAATGAGCTCTGGAAGGACAGTAACTCCGCGTTACTCAGTGGCTCACACGCTGCCTGGCACATAGAGAGCGCTCATTCAATATGTATTAAATAACTGCATGCGTGACTATGCCTTTCTCCCCTACTCAAGCGTGTGCTTACTGGGGGACAGGGAATCACATCTCTGTTCTCCTCGTGCCCTGCCCCAGGAGTTGGCACAGCGCCCGGCACTTGGTAGATGCTTCGTGCACATTTGTTGAAACTGAAAAAGAATTTAGAGGAAAACTTATTCTTATGTACTTGGATATGGTAAGAAAATTCTCTGGGGGTGCCTGGGTGGCTCAGTCGGTTGAGCGTCCAAGTCTGGATTGTGGCTCAGGATGTGATCTCGAGGTTCATGGGATTGAGCCCTATGTCGGGCTCTGCTCTGGCAGCATGGAGCCTGCATGGGATTCTCTCTCTGTTCCTCCACCACTTGCTTGCTCTCTCTCTCTCTCTCTCTCTCTCTCTCAAAATAAGTTAATAGACTTAAAAAAATTCTCCGGAAGGAGACCCTGGTGAGAAGGGTTGATTCTAGAAAAGGAGACTGAGAGGTCTTGGATGGGAGAGAAACTTACATTTCTCTGGATATGCTTTTCTTCTGTTCAAATTTTCATCATTTGCAAGTGTTACTTTAAAAAAAAAATACTATGTTTATTTATTTATTTTTTAAATCCAACACGGTGCAGGGCACCTGGCTGGCTCAGTCAGTAGAGCATGCGACTCTTGATCTTGGGGTTGTGAATTTGAGCTGCATGTTGGGAGTAGAGCTCACTGAAAAATCTGATGTAGTGCAACTGAAATGATTGACTGGAAAATGAAACGTGCAGAAAAATGAAGAGGCTGGAGCCCTTTGGTTGAGAAAAAAAATGTCACCTGAGGAGGGAGGCTTTCAGTGGGTATCTTCCATCCTCTGGAAGATTAGAAGGAGAAAGTTGAGCATCTGTTCTCTGAATGTACAGAGAGAAATAGGAAACGGACTGAAATTGCAGTGGGAGGTGTGAGTTAAACATAAAGAACTAGTTACTGCTGATAGGAGTTGATAAACACCAGAAAAGGCTGTCACAAGATGTGATGAGCCATCCATACCCAGAAACTCAAAGGTCTAGACAGCTCATATGGCTTTACTGATTTACTTGTCCTCCCACAGAGAGAGATGGCTGAGCTTATGAGGCTCTGTCCCCGTTTCTGACACTAGAAGAGACCTTTACTCTGGTGAAGGTCCCCGTTGTCATCATCCCCTCTTCCCTTCCTGGGGTGAGCATCCCACCAGGCCAGTTTCTCAACTGGAAATTTCTCTGGAAATTTCCATACAACATGGCCCTCACCCGCAAACCAGCTATTGAGTTCAGGTCTCAACTGCAGATACAGTGAAAGGATCCGATGCTCGGGGAAGAAATCATCTGTGTTGGGGACTTGCTAAGAGATTTTCAAGGACAACTTTGATTAGGTCCGCTTGCCACCTTACACGCTACCATCCAGCTGACTCCCTGCTGGCTCTCATTCCCACCCTACCTTCGTACGTTTGCCACACGTGTGGGCAACATGGTGATGATGACAATGACGATGGTGTCCATGTCTAGTGCTTTTATGGTATAGGTGAGATAATATCTGTAAAGCACTTGGAGCACTGCATGGTACATAATAAATTTATAAGTCTTGGCTCTTAGTCGCTTTTCTTCTGCACCTTGCTTTTCAAGCTCAACAGTATTCGTTTAGTCAAGAACGCTTGGCGGTCGTAAGATGCTGGGGCTTCAGCAGTGACCCAAACAGATAACCTCTCCCTCCTCACAAAGTTGACGTGCAGGTGTTCCAGCCACAGCGCTGTGGTCAGCGTGCCAGGAGCAGAGCAAGCCAAGGGGACAACAAAGAGCAAAGAAGCAAGAGACGTCATGGAGGGCCAAATCACACACGCGCTG